GAGTGCGCCAGCCATACCTCTCGCGAGCCCCTACGACAGGATAAGGCCTACGCGAGGCACGACTTACCTCCACCTTACGGGAGCTGTCACCTCCCATTGGTGGGCGTATCCCCCCCGAGCTACCAGTCCACAATACGAAGGCTAATCAGTTGCGATCGCAGAGGTGGATTAACCGAGGGCGTTTCTCGTTCGTTGTAGCATAGGGGGTACGCGCGGTAATACGCCTATCGGTCCCGCACGCGAGCCGACATCTTGGGGGGCTGAAGTCCCAAGCGCGGCTCGACGTCAGTCGACTAGGACGCATCCCACGCACCACGCGCACACCACTCTAGGAACACAAAAATAAAACACACGCACACACGCACACGTACGTACAACGCGACATAACACGAACAACGCGACAACGCTCCTAACCCCTTGGTAGTCGTCCCATAACTCTCTGATGCGAAAATCGGATAGGCGTCGCGCGTGAGACTTAATATAAAGCCGCGCAGACGCAGGGCTAACTCATATCGACTCGCAATGCAAGCGTACGCAAGCAGTTGCGATGATGGCGTACTATATAGTACCCATACTCACGCGGTTCTCGTTAATCTCGAGGGTCGTATTCGACACTCAAGTGTTGGCTGACACGCGCCTTGAGGGTTAATCTCTCTACGCTGGACAACCGCCATGCGCGGTTGAAGACCACACACCCTCTTCTCCACCCTTATGCAGAGCGGGTGGTACACAGGTCCAAAGCCTGTGGTTGTAGTCGTCTCTCGCGGCCTTAGGGGTAGGTCCTCCCCGGGCCTGGGCGAAAGTCAAGGGGTTTGACTTTGACAGCTGCCACGGACCACAACGTCCAACCATAATAATCCCTAACGAGCAAACAACATACACACGACGACAAGAAGAGTGGCTAGGGCAAAGGCCCCCCTTGTCTTAAAAGGAGTCGTGACCTTGGGGTACCCTCCCCCTCTACGGTTGGTGTCGTCGGCCTACAATAATCCAAGCGCTGCACCTGCGCGCGCGCCCGACAATCCCATAACTTTTAGACGCTACGGCGACGAGACGTCGCGCAGGGCTCTGATATAAAACTGCGCGGCCGCAGGCCAATCCTACGTCAACCAATGATGCCAATCATACGTGGTAACCGCGGCTCCGGCCTCGTGATATTGAATGGTTGAAGGAACACCTCGCGAGGGGTTACCTCTGACGATATTGAACAGCTGAAGGACGCGCAGTTCGGCCCTCGCGCTTGGGATGTCCTGGACAAGGACCTTGAATCCCGGCCCAGGACCAACGTCCGACCAAGAAAGCCCCAAGACGCAAAAAGGGGGAGGGGAGGGTCCTCCTTGTCCCTCGATCCCAGTCTTACGCGGTGTTAACATAGCCTCTTAGGCCTTCCGAACACTCATCCTACGTATACCCACGCATACATACAAGGGGAATACAGTTGTGACGGTCACTTCTCACAGGCACAGTGGGACTCCTCACAACGATGTATACGTATATGAAGTCGCAGGCAGTCCAAATCCCAAAATCCAAATCACAGGACATACTTGCAATCACACCAGGAATCAAACGACAAAGCACGCACTACACGGAATCAACCCCAACCATTCTCTATGCTCATACCCCTTTCGCTTTAGCCATGCAAGCCCCAACTGCCGATCCAACCAACCTCAATTAAATACTCAGTACCTTTGTTAAATGACCATTTAATAAAAGTTCGGGTGAAACCCTTAACAAACAGTAAAACCACCAGGGGCAAAGCCTTTTAGGTTGAGTATGGAGAGTGAGTTGAAGTAGGGTCGAAGACCRATGAATCGACAACCGACCTGTATTCAGTGATAACAGAAGACGATCCTCAAGGGATCAAGCTGAGTCTAGCCCTGATTTTGAATCAGAMACCCCAAAGGACCTGTAGCACAAGATAGGTCAAATGYCCAAGCTAAATCATCAGCATATRGGGGATAAACCTCCATAGCATATTCTCACTCAAAGCTTTCCGTCAACTAAGTCCAAGCCTACCTCTATGTCACTGCCCAAGCAAAGGTAGACTAATGGCAGATTCAGGGTGGATTGTCAGAATCACCACCTATCAAAATATAATCTAACTCTTYTAATTCAAGGAAATTTCGGCAGCGCTTCCCGTAGRAAAAGTGTCTTTTCAKAATTTATACAGGCTCGGATATCAAAAGCGGGAGTGCTCTATAACTCTTTGAAAGTCAAATTTTGTCTATCTCTCTGAATTAGCAGAAATGTTGGCAGCATCTCCTTTGGAATTGAGGATTTTCCAGATTTATACCAAGTCGAATTTGAACTCAGCCCCCAACCTTGAGTTCAACTTAGACAAAATATGACTAACTCCCTAGCTTTGCAGAAATTTTGGCAGCACTCCCGTTAGAAAAGTGTTTTTTCAAAATTTGTACAAGGCTAAGTTTAGAACTTAAGACTAACTTTGACTTATCAAAGTCCAATTTTGTTTAACTCCCTTAAGCAGCAAAAATTTGGGCAGCACTCCCCTTAGAAAATGAGACTTTCCAAATTTTTACTAAGTYAGATATAYAGAAAAGGCAGGCTGAACTTTSACAAGTCAAAATTTGTCTAACTTCTTGAATCTGTAAGAATTTCGGCAGCGCTTCCCGTAAAGAAAGTAGCTTACCAGAATTTATACAGGTCCAAGTTTAATAGCGAGCCTCGGAAAATGCAGAAATCGATCTAAGTAAAATAAAGTCAGCTCAGAGAATGCAGGAGTTGACCTAACTCCTATTGCTCTAGTACGTGGCGAGCCTCTAAGGCAACTACCTGTCAACCTGAAACCCAGACCAAGTAGTAATCTCACTTAGCCACATGCTGGYCAAACCACAAAGGTAARTACCRCCACCATCCCCAAGCCAATCTGAGCAGACAATAGTTCATGACCTTTCAGTGAGTTATCCCCTTATACCCAACTTACATAAACCATAGGTCAGGGCACCTGAACTTACARAGCGCGCTCAACTTAGCCAGGCCTAAAGTCAGAATACCTAAACTTATAGAGCGTTCTGACTTGGCCAGGTATACACAAACAGAGGGCACAACTACTTCTCTYTTCTTTGGGCGTATGACWGGACCACTCTAGTCGCCCTGAATTGTTTCAATAGCCAAGTTGTATATACCTCTCTGAACTTAGTCTTCAAAGGGGGTATAAGGCTGAGCCGCTCAACTTAGAACATTGCTCAGCCTGCCCAAGCTTACCTTCAACTATATCTCTTAGTTTATACTCTCTTCAGTTGTGATAAGCYATAGTCACGCTACCTAAACTTATAGAGCGGCCTGACTAGCCTGTTCTTAATAACATAGTAATATAATATAACCAAGTTATATTAATTGGGTTCCAATATGTGCGAGGAATTGGGTCAGACTACCTAAACTTATAGAGCAGTCTGATCCTCAGCCAGATTCGTTTCTCTCTGGTCCAATCTGTGCGAAGCAGTGAGGCGACTACCTAAACTTATAGAGCGGTCTGTCCCCTGCCAAAATTATTCCCTCAGAAGAAAACAGGAGAAGGGTTGAACCACCTAAACTTATAAAGCGGTTCAGAACTCCTCGTTCAGAACCAAAGAAACTGTGAGAACCCCAAACAGAACAAGGCAACCCAAGGTACCTAAACTTATAGAGCACCTTGGGTTCCTGAAAGTCACTCACAGTCAAACCCCCACAAGTCAGAGCAGCCAGGACACCTAAACTTATAGAGCGTCCTGACCCTCCATGCAACTCACAGCACCAGGTCTCCCCAAACTTATGGGGACATCCCAGCCTCCAGAGCTTCAGGCTACCTAAGCTTATAGAGCGGTCTGAAGCTCCATGCAATCCAAAAATAAACAAAGCGCTGGGCTTCCCCAAACTTAAGGGGACCTCCCCGCCTTAGTGACCCAGTCAATCTGCACACAATACTGCCTTCCTCCCAACCTTCCCTCAGATGCAACCCATTTCATTCGCAATCTGCTTTCAGGCAATCAACAAACTGAAACCGAGATTTGCCCATACATTCTTTTACTTCAGTCTGACTTATGTCCTGAAAGTCAAACTCAAAACCCACTACAGGATCCACACAATGCACTCAGTCAAACGTAGAGAGGTGTACAGGTAGGGGTTATAGTTGGGTTTATAAAGGGAGTCAAGGGATTACCACTCACTTCCCTGCCTYCASGACTCCGCCTGAGTCCCGACAGAGCTCCCGCAAATGGTGGGGCAACCTCCCACAGAGGCCTCGGCGTGGACTACGGGCCACACGCCCGCCTGCCGCCTTCCTCTCAGAGCCAAAGGGTCARACTTAGAGGGAGAAGGATARAATGAGAAACGTGAGACTCTCAAGATCCAGAAGGGGTATACTCAGACTCGCGCGAGAGGGTCTTTAAGTCTTCACCGCCTGAGGGGCCCCCAATAGCGGCCAAACATACCACACTTGGWCAACTGCGATCTCACCGCCAGCTGCTGACCCCTTTGATGTCCCCCCATATCCGCAACAATAAGCCCCTTCCCTTCTTAATACACGCATCTAGTCACAATCTTCGTGGCCCCAAGTTCAATACGTTGTTTGTTGTTGGCTGACCTGCCGCTGCGCAGCCTGGAAACGATCATCTCTCACTSGSCGGAGCAGTCTGCTCATGCAGGAGCACAACCGCAGCGTCCAGCAGCTGCACMCAACAGGAGGATCCAGCCCCGTTTGCAGCAACTGCACAAAGTCCAAAGGCAGTGACAGCAGCAGTAACTCYCAATACATCAGCGTGCTCAGCATCCACGCACCTCAAAAAAGGGATACCGCAGCAACCCCGACGTCGAGCAGCATAGGCCCCGACGGTCGCGCGCAGCAGCACGAACGCTGCCCCYTTTCGTCTGACGGGCCACCAACAGCTTAGCGGCAGCGCGAGGCAACCCGTAATAAAAAGCAGCAGTCGGGCACCCGGTATAGTCCGCCAGCCTACAAGGGGCCCCGCTTGGCACAGTAGCTCCCCCCCTTAGTTCATCCCGCACTGYCTACCCCTGTCTCGTAGGCTAGCCACTCATCGGTACCCCACAGTCTAACCCAGCCCTCCGTTCCTGCTCGAACAGATGGCTGTGAGCAGCCGCAAGCAACTCTCCTATCCTATTGGTTGCCAGCGACCCTTCCACTCCACCGGTTGTTAGCACCCTGCTCATACTCGATTAGTTGTAGGCAA